CGCCGAACTGCAGATAGCAGTCAGCTGAAGTGGCCTGCAGTACTGCACCCTAACCACTGCGCCACCTCGGCTCTTCAAAGAGGTGCCAAACCTCAAAGCCATTCTCAAAACACCAAAACTAAATACTATTGGACACTGATGGACTAGGGTAGGCCCAGGAAGATGGGAAAATCTCAGGCTTTGTGTGAGAATAGTCAGATCCAGCTTTGTTTACAATGAAACTGCTTTCACATCAACCATGGAGTCGAGGGCTTTTCTTTCCTAAGTGCCTAAGCTGGAATAAGCCTGACACTAACTTAACAACTGCAGTAATTCACTTAACCAACATCTCACTTAGCAACATAAATATTGGGCTCAATTGTGATTGTGAGGACTACCTGTAGAACATCTCTAAGGTCCTTTCCAATGTTATTATTTACCTAGTTTTATATTCTAAATTAAACTGGCAGGTTGATCCCATATTGCATATTTTTTAAGAAAAAGAAATAAATTGTATCTTGACTGTTAATATAAAGAAGTACAAATATTAAACTGGATTCTTCATCAATGCTGTACGTTATTTCTTCTTCCCCTTACTAACCTGTATTGGATTTGGAAGTTTCCTGTCCAATTGTTTGGCCTAGGAGATCATACTGATTCAACCTTGAACCATCTGGAGCTACTTCTACTGAATTTGATGCATTGAATGTCCACTTGTAGGTTACTTCTGCTGTTGTATATGCATCTAGCAAGGACAAAAAAAAGGGGGATTCAGAATATTTGAGAGTATTAAATAATTTCAAGTATGAATTAAATATTTAAATCTCTAAATAATGATAGGGACATTTAAACAGAAGGTATTTTACAATATAACCAAATATGAAAAAGTACAACCAAAAATAAATTATTTCCCCAAATTAATTCATTTCTTTCTTTTTTTCTTTTTAAAGGTTGTTTTATTTTGAACACACAATAACAAAGACATAAATTTACATTTATACAGTACATCACACTGGAACTTCACATTCCTTTTTGTAACAGCTATCAATTGGTACCTCTTTACATACACTATTTTCCCTCACAATACATTTCTATACAGTTTCGCATTTTTAACCCTCTTATTCTAGCCACTGGGATAATATGTAAAATTAAATATAAGGCCTCTTTGTTATATTTGGTCATTGTTATGCCCAATAAGAACATCTCAGGTTTCCAATATATTTGCTTTCCTGTTATGGTTTCCAGCCAGTTTTTAACTTTTACCCAGTGTCAGCTTCTGTTTTGGAACTATAATAGGTTTATGGCCGCCCTGAGAAAACGCTTTGATCACCCGCTCACTGAGCAAAAGGCCAGAACCAAGATGAAAACCCTTACTCAGGGAAAAAATCCAGTGGCTGAATACATCCAAGAGTTTAGTGAACTGTTGGTGTATATGCGGGGTGGGTTGGAGGAGGCTTCAAATCTCATGTTAGAGCTCCCAGACTTTTGCGTAAGTTCTACACCAGTTATCCTGATAAGCCTTGATTTTATAATAGATGTATATGCTATATTGTTATTTTGTATTGTTTTTCCTCTCTCTTTTCCTGCAGGGATGATATCTCTTTCTTAAAGAGGGCTGGATGTCAGCCTCTGTTTTGGTTACTTGCTTACGGCTGCTTTGTTACGGTGGCATACTATCGGCTGTCATAGGAAGGGGGGGCATGGTATTGGGGAAGGGAATAACATTGTACTGGAGGAGTCTTGTTCTCACCATCTTCTGCACATTCTGGTGGATGATGTTTGGACTTGGTCAAAGCCAACTGTCTCACATACCCTCTTGATGAGGCTGTTTGAAGATGCACCCCACATGACACCTTATGGAGTTGCAGATTGGACATTGGGTTGGGGAATTGGGGGATGGGGTTGGGCAAATGTTTGATATATATAATTTTGCACGTTTCTGCCTCAGACTTTGCTTTACTTTGCTGCTATATTTTCATAACCAGTAAAAGTACTCTTAATTCTACAAATGGAGTTTCTTTCTTGGTTGCTGAAGGAGGCATGCCTGACACCCAGTATTTTTTGGCCGCTTCACATGTTCATAATGTGTGGTAGTATGTTCCATGCGCTTTCTCACACTTCCAACACTTTGGTGATATGCTAGATGATATTTTTGCTAGTCTTGCGGGTGGTAGATACCATCTATAGAACATTTTGTACTGGTTTTCCTTGTATGCCACAGACACAATCAATTTTAAATTTATTCCCCAAACCTTTCCCCATTTTTCCAATTCAATATTGTTGCCAAAGTTCTGTGCCCACCTTATCATGGATTCATTTACTATTTCTTCCATTTTGCATTTTAGTAGACATTTGTATATTCTCCCAATTATTTTCTTTTCCGTGCTTTGGATGATCTTATCTAATTCATGTTGTTCTGATTGTATTTCATATGTTTTGATGCCGTAGTTGTATCCAGATTTAATTTGCCTGTATGTAAGCCAATCTACTTTTATGCCTTGGTCTGCCAATTCTTGCATTGTCTTCAAATTTCCCTGTTCGCTAATTAAATCTTTATATATTGTCAATTTGTTTATATCTATAAAATTTGGGTGTGTCATCGTCTCTATCGGGGAAAGCCAATTTGGAATTTTGGTATAGTGGGCTTTTTTTATTTTGTGCCAATTTTAAAGCAGCGCATTTCTGATTAGGTGACTTTGAAAATACTTGCAGGTTTTATTTTTTCCATCCCATAGAAATGTGTGCCATCCCACTTGCAAATCATGTCCTCCTAGGGCAAAGATTCTTTTGTTTTTCAGTTCTATCCACTCCCTCAACCATGTTAATGATGTTGCTTGAGAGTATAGCTCCCAATCTGGGAGTGCTAAACCTGCCCGCTCCTTACTATCTTGCATTAGATTTAATTTGATCCTTGGTTTTCTCCCTTGCTGTATAAATTTGGATGTTAATTTATTTAATTCTTGAAAAAATGATTGCCTGGATTAATTGGCTTGAAAGAAATAAAATTCTTGGGAGAATATTCATTTTCATTGTGGCTACACGCCCCATTAATGATAATTGTATATTTTTCCAACTCTGTGGGTCATTCTTTATTTGTATTATTAATTTATTATAATTGTCCTCCTTAATTGAAGAGCACTTTGCCAACACCCAGATCCCCAAGTATTTAACTTTCTTAGTTATTTGCATTTTAGTTGTAAATTCCAATTCATTCTCTTATTTGTTCATCATATTTTTTATTATTATTTTTGTTTTTTTTTGTTAATTTTTAAACCTGCCACCTCTCCAAATTCTTCTAAATTTTTATTAATTTAGGGCCAGATTCCAGAGGGTCTTCCAATATAAACACTAGGTCATCGGCAAAGGCTTGAATTTTATAATCTCCATTTTTGATCTTTAATCCTTTTATCTCCTGATCTTTCCTGATTTTATTTAAGAGTATTTCCAATGTTAGTAGGGACAGCAGAGGAGAAAAGGGGCATCCTTGTCTTTCTCTTTTCTCTATTTCGATCTTTTCTGTTAAACCTCCATTCATAAAAACTTTGGCTGTTTGGGTTTTAGGTTTTAGGTTTAGGTTTTATTTGACTTGTATGCCGCTCTATTCCCAAAAGACTCAGGGCGGCATATTTCCCCTATTATTTTTATAAATTTATCTCCAAATTTCAACATTTCTAATTGTAGCATTATACATTTCCAGTTTATGTTATTAAAAGCTTTCTGGGTATCAAGGAAAATCAGTGCCAATTATTTGTCAGGGTGTGCTTCATAGTATTCTAGGATGTCCAATATAATTCTCATATTGTTTTTGATCTGTGTGGTAGAAATCCATTCTGGTCTGTGTGGATTCGTTGTACTAGTATCTGTTTGATCTTTTCTGACATGATTGCAGTAAATAATTTATACTCTTTTAAAAAATTTATTTTAAAAAAAGAAATCAAGCTCAACTGGACGGGGAGGGGGGCTGACATCGCTACAACACGACATGCAATCTTGGGGCTCCAGGATTGCTTTCTATATGTCTGTTGCTGGATGGTCCTCTTGGACCTAAACTGTCCCGAAGAGATGGTGATAGAGAAGGGCATGTCCTGCTGATCTCAGGGGCATCGCAAAGCCCCGGATTGATCCAGGAAAAGCTCTTTCCTCCAGTTACAAGAGAAGCAGCCATTGAGGTTGCACAAGGTTGGGACAGACCCCTGAAACAGAAGCAGAGCAGGAGAGAGAGTGTGTCAAAATTGGTGAGATAAATTTATTATTGGAGAAGAGAACNACTACTCAAGTGACACAGGTGACATAGATAAATCTCCAGGTGGCTTCAACAATTCACCAAAACAGGGGTGTCAAACCGGCGGTCTACGGGCTGGATGCATCACACGCAGGCCATGCCCACCCAGCTCCACAAAGGCAAAAAAAAATCGTTATACTTGACATCAATTTTGACACCCATGTCCTAAAAGAATGCAACTGAGCAGCTGCCTGCAAGGAGTATAATTCCTTCCATTCCCGACCATCCAGTCAGAGCTGAAGAAGCTTCTTGGATGAGAATCAAAACGTCGTCCAAGAAAAAATACCTATAAGAAAGTCCAGTTGTCTTTTGAAAAAGCACCTTTGAGACAGTAAGACTTGGATGGCTCAGAATCTCCATAGACACTTTGCAAGTAAATCCTATTCACAAAGGAAGTCATCATGAAAGAATCCTACTTATTCTTAGATGTAGCAGGGATATGGCTGCCTATATCTTTCTTATTGGCGGTATCATGACTGTATCTTCCTAACATTGAATAAATTCTCTGCCTTTCTCATCTACTTTTTGGATCTGAAGTAATATGCAGCACTTAAGGTCTATGCCACAATCCATACTGTGAGGTTAATGAGTGCACGCTCAGCAAACTGGTTGTTATACCAGTTGAATCCCACCACTGCTGAGATCCCCCTTTTAGGCTGCCCATAAATGTTCCATTTCAATTTCAGCTTTTGTCACCTAGTCCCTTTTCAGGAACTGATCAGGAGAGTTTGGAAAGGAAGGGGGTCTATTGTGGTTTGACGACTTCAGCAGATTGTGAGAGATATTGTGTGCTTGGCTTTATTTGGTCAGTTTCTACTTACTCTCTGACTTAGTTGGGAAAAGGAGGTACCTGTATTCTGCTAGAGAGCCCTCCCAAGCACGTATGTCACTTGGTGACTGAGGTGGGAGGGAAAAATAGAACAGAACAGAGTAACAGAACAAAATAACAGAGTTGGAAGGTACCTTGGAGGTCTTCTAGTCCAACCCCCTGCTCAGGCAGGAAACCCTATACCATTTCAGACACATGGTTGTCTAATCCATTCTTAAAAACCTCTAGTGTTGGGGCATTCACAACTTCTGGAGGCAAGTTGTTCCACTGATTAATTGTTCTAACTGTCAGGAATTTTCTCCCCACTTCTAAGTTGCTACTCTCCTTGATTAGTTTCCATCCCTTACTTCTTCTCTTTACTTCAGGAGCTCAGGGACACGGCTGGTAATCGGATCTGGTTTGAAATGGGCACTTTCAACTTTGCCATATTAAATTCTCAAAATCTAAAAGCTGAAACCTCCACCTGAGCAGGGTGGAGACCAGTGATGGGCTACCCTTGAAAAGCGTTCAGAGACTGCAGTTAATTCAGAAGCGGCCGCACGGGCGATATTGGGTGCGCCAAGGTACACCCACGTTACCCCTGTCCTCCGTGAGCTGCACTGGCTACCAATTTGTCTCCAGACTCAATTCAAGG